TTAGAATCCTGAGGGCTTTTCTACTCTCAGCTCAGTATTTCTCTGGAAGACTCTTCTGGGGGTTGAGAACCACAGAGCCCCTGTGCGTGTCCACACAGGTGGCAGACACGAAGCTGTAAAGCTGTCCCCAAGCTCAGCCAGCCTGGGCTTTTGTTCTTATGCTCTGTGTTGGGAGCTCTTCCATCTGAAGAGTGGAGTGTTTGCAGCTGACAGCAGTAACTGTCCGGGGCCACTGTCCAGGATGAGAGGGACAGCCACTGCCAGGACCTCAGAGGCCTTCCTGGCCCCACCCTGGATGTTGCTAACTCTACAGACCTGCCATGTTCTTTAGAGTCTTTGGGGCTGAGGCTGGACCCCGTGCTTTCCCCAGTAACTCCCGCCACCACTAACCTGGCAAGGTCCTCACTGGGGTCCGACTCACCCCCTGTGGGCTACCCATTCTGCTGAGCTGAGAGGACAGTAGAAGAGCACCCCACACTCAACACACCCTGCAGAGCCCTTCCCATGTGGAATCAGGCCAGGAAAGGCACCAGGGATGCAGGGCCCTGAGGCAGAGGAGCCAACAGCACGGTGTGAGTCACCTTTAATTAGGAGTATTTCTTAAGTAAATGACTTAATAGGACAGTTATATTCATTAGAGGCATAATTACAAGACATAAGATGAAGCAGGAAAGAAGGGGAGGTACGAAGGCAGAATCCAGTAGGAGGCAGGACCATGGGTCTGGGGCAGCAGAAGTGGGGTCAGGAGAGGGCCCTTGTCCCATCATATGACTCTTGTCACCAGATCCTCTGCTAGCCCAACCACCCTCAGATCCATGTCCCCACAGAGGAGAGGGGAGGGAGCCCTAGACATAATTAAAATGCAATAGTAATAAACAGACACTAATTAAAGCATCATGGAGTGGCCCATTAAACTCTGAATCAGCCCTGACCAAGCACCCCCACCTTCCTGGCATGGTGGACATCCAACAGCAGAAAGTATCCTGCTGCCCTGGAGCCTCCAGAGACAGGGCCACTTCGCCTATTCCTCCAGCCAGGGCCTGGCTACCACCTGGGCACAGTGAGGTAGCTCCTGACACAGAACACTGGAACTTGGTCCTTTGCAGACTCCAGAGACTCAGAATTAATAGAATCAATAGAGCATAAAGTTATTCCGGAAGTTCTGTTGCTTTCCACTGCATATGCCAAACTACTGTGCTTCCTGACAAAGCCCCCATGATGAGATTTGATTATGCTTTCCAACCCTATAGCCTGACGTTTATAAAGCTGTCCTAAAGGAGCTGAGGTCATCTCTGTGATTGTCAAACTATAGCACTCTGACGCATCACTTGGAGAGATGTCAAGACCCATTTGGGGTAGCCCAGGCCAGCTTTTCTGATTGAGTGGACCCTGAGTTTTCTTGTCTGAAAAGCCCACAGTCCATTCCTTGACCACCATCACTCCTTGAAAGCGGCAGGGCCACCTGTTTATGGAGGACATCCTTTTGCCCAGGGAGTAACAGGCTTATGCTCCTGTCTTGCCCACCTTTCCTGGGGGAGCCCTAACCCTTTCCTTCTGGAACCTTCTAAGAGCAGACTCCTACACGTCTGCGTAGCCTCCCTGTGCTCTCCCTCCTGGACACCCATGTCCCACAGGAATACACTGCCAGCGGTGGACCTGGGCTGCACCTGTGGTTTTCATTTTGCTGATAGCTAAAATGGGCTTTGTTCCAAAAAGTGAGAAAAAAAAAAAAATTTTATGTAACCCAATATGTATATAAAATGGCAGCTTTCAAAATGTTAATAATGAATTATTAATGTGATATTTTATTTCTGTTCTTTCCTCCCCTAAGCCTCCCGAGTCTAGTGTGTGTCACAGCCTTACCACACACCTCTGCTCGCCAGCTCCTCTCGGACGCTCCTAGCCATGCAGGGCTGGTGGCCCCCACACCAGACGGGGCACACACAGAAGCGTGTTTTGTCTTCACTTTGCATTCTCTCACCCCTCTTTAAATATCTCTCTTAGAACACCATCACTTTCTTGTTTTTATAGCCAGTCAGTTTGCAACTTGAGGGTGATGGCTGTGTTTTAACACTGTTGTTTTTTTTTATTCTCCTGAAGTGGCCTGTATGGAGGACATGATCAATGAGCACTGGCTGATGAATGAACATAGAAAGCCATGAATATAGGGACATCTGACTTGCAGGGCCCCCTCCCAGTCACTGTGACATTTCTTTCCTCTGGTTTGTGCATGGCTGTTAGATCTCAGAGGGAGCACGATTCTAGTCGTAGACCCCCCCCCCCGCTATAAGTTTCCTGTTTCACTTTACTCTTTAACTCAGTGCATTAAAAAAAATCCCACCAAGAGGGCCCAGGAAACAGGAAAAATAGTTGTGCTGTTGGTTTCATGTTTGGAGAAGAACAGGGTTTCACTATCTCCGTGGCACTTGGCGTGAAAGTGGGCTTTGTTGCTGGAGACACTGCGCCCATTCAGGGCCCCCGTCCCCAGCTGCTGAGAGCCGGGCTGTGTTTTGACAGACGGGCCGAATGCAATGCAGACAGTTGTTTTAATTTCCAGCCAGATGCAGACATCACTCACAAGGAGCCCGAAAGCCAAAAAAGGGAGCTGGGCCCTTGGCCTGCCGCTCTCAGGCCTAGCGAGGCAAGTTGGAGGGGTCAGCAGAAACCCAGCAGGCAGCAAGGGTCCCAGAGATCCGCAGGCGCAGGGAGGCACCTCCAGCAGGCCCCCGTCCAAAAGGTGCTTTTTGCAACCAGCTCAGCACATGCGCAGAGCATGGGAAAGGGCAGGGGAGATTGGCCAGTGGTGGTGACGGCTGGGGGTTATCTGTCAGCTGTCAAGTCACCCAGGTCAGAAATCATAACTGGCTTCAGACAGCAGGCAAACTATCAGAAGTAGAATCCTGGACTGTCTGAATTTGAGAGATGAGTCCAGCCTTTCTCTTAGGGTAGAGATGCCTTAATAGGGCATCACAGAAAAAATATCACCTTTACTGGGAATGAGTCCCAGCAGTTGGTGTCTGTTGGGGCAGCTTTGTCCGTGGCCCTGTTGCTGCCAGGTGGAGCCTGTCAGACCCTGGAAAGAACCCGGGACACCTGGAGACTCCTCTCCTGAGGACTAAAGAAGCATCTGATGTCCATCAGCTGCACTTAGATACCTCTTCCGGCCACCTCTCCACATCCTGGCCACCCTCTGGGAAGGATCTTGGGTTAAGCAACTCCCCATAGGGAGGCAGCAGAGACCTCAACTCAGAACGTCCTAGTGCGGCCACCTCACTCGGTCCTGACAATGTATATCTGTCTGGATATCTCGTGATCATATCAGGTTCTCTAGCCATGACCTCCCATGTCGTATCGCACATAGACTCATCTCAAACCCTCCCATGTATTATTCTTGAAGTGTTTTAGACCAGCTAGTCCCAAAACTATGCTCAGAATATTCATTTTTTTCAAACCAAGTTTCAGCACAGCTACTAACCCTACCTGCATTTTATCTTTTTATTATTGAAGAGAATTAGGAGTGCTTAGGACTGAGGCTGTCTCTCATTCACAGAAGAGCCTGTGACAGGGCATGGTAGTTTGTAATGTTGTAAGGCTGGATAGGGCTCCTAACAAGGAGGCCAGCCAGCCCTGACCCAAACTCTGACGCCTGTCTGCGGGTGAGGCTGAACCTGTCTGTGAATCTGTGTTCCTTGTGTTCACGGTGACACTTCAGCTTGGAATGTCCTTCAAAGACATTCGGAACACGACTCCTGACAGTCCTGGCTAGCACTCCTCTGTGCTGTCAAGGCCCCTGGCCCTTGCACAGTCCCTTGCCACACACAGACAGGCAGCGCAAGGCCAGGCAACTTTGTCAGCAATTCCTGGCTACACGAGCTGCAGAGCTCTGCGCGGGCAGCGTGGGCACTGTTCGCAGTAGTCCTGTCGCTTAGCACCAGCACGCCGCGGAATTGACTTCTGATAAACCTCCGCTGAATGAACAGCATCAGGGTCCCTCCTGAGCTCTCAGGAGCATGCTGTGCAAGTGTCTCTGTCACATATTCTGTCCCCCTGCCAGAGGCAGAACAACTGTGTTGTCGCTGGACCCCAGGTCATGTTTCACCTGAGCTCACACATTCCGTAGGTGGGAGGCCCTGTATCCTAGCAAATGAGAACCCATTTCTGGCCCAGCAGCTGTTTCTGCAGCCCATTCGGCCTCCTGCCCCAGTCACGAACAGATACTTATGACACAGCAAAAGGGAGACTTCGGTCCTCTGACCCCTTGCCTGGCCTTTCTTGTCACATATGCTAGGGTGGGGAGGGGGTTGGCATCAGAACAGGCCTAGCTCAGATCCCTGTAACACCCCACCAGAAAGCCAGGCGTTTTCAAGGGCGTACCACAGGGGACGCAGAGGCCGCATCTGCAGATTCCTGCTTTCCAGGCGAGACAGAACAGACAGGCAGCTCCTCTCTGTGGAGGTTCCCATGTATCCAGATTTTTCAAAGGCTGGGAGATTTACTGGGGAAACTGAATACAGCCATCAGAGAAAGGATAATTGGATCCAGGTGGTATATTGGGTTGGCTGTAAAGAGGCTGTGCTGTACTATGAATATTATTTGATGGGAAAAGTTTCTCCTTTTCTCCCCTTTTCAGCGTGCTCTGCGCAGGCAGGATGTCTCAGCCGGAGCCCAGCTGAAACCTCTTCAGCGATGAGTCTGTGCCACTCAATAGCCTTTCAACAGAGTTAACCATTCTCAGTACTTGCTCCGGCCTGCTCAGCTCTGTGGAGGATGCCAGTGGCAGGCTTGGAGAATTTTTTTTGCCTTTGCCTTGAAAACGTATGCTGCTTGACCATCCCTGACCCCACCAGCAGAAGATGAGAGGCTAAAGGCCACTGATGCACTCCGATGCCGCCTTGTCAGGGGACTTAGCAGTGCAGAGTGGGGGGCTATAGGTGCATCTGGACATGCACCTGCGAGTTGTCACAGCTGACCTCTCTGGCTCCCTTCTCCCTCTCTGGCAGGTCACCAGGGTCCCTGTGGAGTCATGCGAGCAGTACACGACTTGTGGCGAGTGCCTGAGCTCGGGTGACCCTCACTGTGGCTGGTGCACCCTGCACAACATGTAAGTAAGGGGGCGAGGGCTGCGGAAGATGGGACCTTTCCTGGGATGATGGGGCAGGGCAGCAGTGTGCAGAAAGAGGAGCGCGTCCTTCTCTCGAGCAGTGTTCTTACTTGTGGCACAAGTGTAGGGCAGGAAAGGTAGTTACCATGGGTGCCTCCTCTCTGCAGGCCTGGCCACAGGCTCCATCCTCTCAACCTCACTGAGAGGTTAGGCTGTTTGCTTTTATCACTGAATGACCTCAGCAGGACAGCTATAGCATCTCTCTAGGTTTCCCAAGAAATCTGTGCCTGCTCTAGCCGGAGGCATGCAGACAGTACTGCTCTGGCTGGGTGGGGACGTTTAGCTGCTGTGTGACCCTGGGTGAGTCCTCTGACAGCTCCAGGCCTTTATTTCTCTGCTGCTAAATAAGGAAAATGCCTATTTCACAGGTGAATTGTAAAGACTAAATGAAATAATAAGTACTTTGGAAATAAGGAAGCCCAAAAGAGGCTACACAAATCAAAATAACTATTATGGACTCCATACCCTCGGGAGGACCCTTCTGGCCTCATTATTTCATGATTCCAAGAAGTCCGCATCTCACTCCAACTGGCCTCACATCCCTATTCAGATACATCCCCCATTGAATACCAGCTCCATAGAAATGCAAAATCACACTTAAACTTCCTAATTTGAAGAGCCCAGAGGGACTGAAAAGGGTGAAAACCGATAGGCTGGAGCTGGCTAGGAATTCTCTTGCCCAATGGAGTTGGAAACTCCATGGCCTGGTGCCAGCCAGCAGAACATCTCCGTGAAATGTGCGGAGTTTGGGGCGGAGGCGGAGGCGGAGGGCCAGAGTTCAGGGTCCTGCACAATAGCTCTTGGCTTCCAGCCTCTGCAGCAGGTGTTGGGAGGATTGGGGGGGGGGGGCTGGTGCTTCACAGATGCAAAATCCGGACTGGAATGCAGGCTGCAAATATTGCATTCCAGCTTAGGTTTCAGCGGTTAGAGATTCCTCAAAAAGTGCTGTGAAAATGCTTGTAGCGCAACCCAGTCTCCACACAGATCAGGAAAGATGCAGAAGCTACACACCTGTACCCTGCAACCCTGAATTGCCCTAAGGGGAACGTTCCCAGCACTGAAGGTGACCCACCAGCCAGGAGGCTCTCCCCTCCAGAGAGTTTTTATCTCTGAAGTGCCTAACAGCCCACCCAGCTTGTGCAAAGGTCCTGGGCTGCTTGTTCTCTGCTCTGCAGGGGCCAAGTCATCTGCCCTTCCCACCCACCTGCCCACCCAGTCCTGGTGCTTGTGAAACTTTTCCAAGTAGAACACAGCAGAATTACAGATCAGGGATGGACACTCATTCCCCCGCTTGTCTTAGCATCTGTTGAAGATCAACAATGCCCCAGTCTCCCAGCTACCCCGGATCACCCCATCATCTCCTGGACCAGGCCCCCATGGGTCCTATGATGGCTGAGCCTCTTCAAGAATGCTGATCTCCTCCACTCCCGGCAGCTCGCCTAGAGTCTGCCAGTCCCCCACCCCCAATCTGGACACACCACTCCTGGCCACTCTGCCTGCCAAGGGCTCGTGGGGAGAGTTTGATGTTCATGCTCAGAGCTTTCTCCTGACCTGGTAGGACTCATCTTCACCAGACCTTCTGCAGTACCCCGCCCCTGTCTACCACCAGACTCCCCACCAAGAGGGTACCAAAGAGATAGGCCAGCCCAGGTCCCGGCCAGCATGCCATGCTGGCCGCCCTTGGCGGAGATAGAGGGCTGCGGGCGATGGCTGAAGGCCTGCGGGTCCAGGGGGATTTGAAACCTTCCTGTCTTCTGTATGCCTTGCTCTTGCAAGTGTATTATTGTCTCCTGGGCTATTTATCTCTGTTAGGGCTGTTGCCATAAATAGTATGATAAAAAAGAGCCATTTCAGTGAGTCAATGAGATAAAGGCTCCAGTCAAGAGCTCACTTTAGAGCTATCTTAAGGATTCACTTAAACCTCAATAATTCTTTTCTTTGACAGCATTCATATTTAGCTCCACTATGTTTCTGGAAAGGAAGAGGGGAGGAGCTTGGGGGAAACCCTGCTGGATGGTGCAATTTTGCAGCGTCCTGGGTTGTTTGGTTTGGAGCTGCCTCGTGCTCTCCACTCCAGGGACACAGCAGGTGACACCCCAAAGCTCCCTCTGGAGCATAACTGTGTCCACCTGCCACGTGTGGGCAGAGGACCTGGAGCTGGGATGAAGACTTCAAGAGCAGCAACCACACAAGCTTTCTGACAGAGGCAGCCCTGGCCACCGCCCCATGTCTGTCTCTCTGTCTCTAGGCATTATTTCATGACACAAATATTTATTTAAAATATTCCCTGTGACAGGTGGAATATCCCAATGAATAAAACATAACTTTTGCCTTCAAAGAGCCATTAATCCACCCACAATCATAGGCACACTGCCCCATGCAGCTAAAATCCTCTTCCTGCTTTCTAACTTTGGAAGAGAATGCGAACAGGAATCGTTGTTATCACTAACAGTGTGCCAGGGCTGAGGCTGACCTGGCACCAGCCATGTGCAGGGCCCTCACCTCCCCCACTGCCCTTGCCCTTCCACAGCAGAGACACCCGAGAACACAGACGAAGTGTCTTGCCTGAGAGGACACCGAAGGCAGCGGGCCTTGGGCAGACACACCACCCCGGCTCCAGAGTGCGTGCTCTGAGTCCACAGCAGCTCCTTCCCCCAAGCCTCCTCACTCGCCACCCGAGTGCCCAACAGTATAGACAAGGATGTCTTGTCTACGTCAGTTGTTCCTTTCCTTGTGCTGAAAAGTGTTCCTTCTCCATCTGTCCTTAGCTGCCTGTGACACAGACCCCTGGGGAGTCCCCAGAGCTCTCTAGGTCACCAGGAGAAGACAAGCCACAGGCCTTGGTACCCATCTTACCCAGGGATCGAGCCAAGCACGTGGGCCCCAGGCCTGACCTGCTGTGAATCTGTCTCCCTCAGGTGCTCCCGCAGGGACAAGTGCCAGCGGTCCTGGGAACCAAATCGCTTTGCCGCCAGCATCAGTCAGTGCATGAGCCTGGCAGTGCAGCCCAGCAGCATCTCTGTGTCTGAGCACAGCCAGAAGGTGGGTGACCCAGGGGGCATGCACACGAGGGCCCAGGGTGCGCCTGGCAGGGGTGCGCCTTAATGCTTACCCAAGTATCTATACACTGATCTGGCTCCAGATGCCCCAAGGAAACTGAAAACCTAGCAACTCCTGTGTAAAGGGTATAGTTTTCCATACTCCTTGCACATCTGTTACTCATGGATCAGTTTTGTAAACCCCAATTTTGCCTTGAATGATAAACTCTATGACACACTACTTCCAGTTCCAAATATCATTGTCTGTAATGTATGCTATATTTACAGTCATCCACTTGTTTCCTTCTCTAAAGAGATCGGCAAGCTGTCTGTGTATCAATATGAAGTCAGCATGCACTTAGAGAAGGCAGGAGAGCCCTCACCCAGGGGTCGTGGTGCAACCCAAAGCCTTTGCGCCCCAAGTGCTGCTCCCAGGGTTTAGGACCTTCCACCCCATCCTGTAGGTTTCAGCTTTCTCAGAGCCAAGGGACCAGGCAGGGGAAGAGGTTGTACCTGGGTCCCCCTAAAGAGGAAACTGAGGCAAACACACACATGAAAAGGTTGGGTGACACCTTTCATCACTGTGACCAAGAAAGCCACTGCCAAGCACTGAGAGGACGACAGAGAGAGGCCTCCACCACCACCTGCCAGTTGCAGGAAGACTGGAGTGTCACGCTGTGAACCTAGGGGCATTCCTCTCCCACACAGGGAGCCTGTCACATTTTTTGCCTATTCAAATACTCCCTGGCCATGTATTGTGACAATTGAGAAAAATATTATTGAAAAATGCACTGAATTGAGAGCAACATTTTGCCAGTAGATATTTTCTCAGTTAACAAATGCTTCTGAAGTCTGTAATATTTTTACCACTCAAAAGAGCATCTTCAAACTTGACCTGAATGGAGACTGCAGGCCCCCATATAGGAACCCAGAGGAAATAGGTGCTGCAGAGCTGTTGGTAGCCTCTTCCCCAGTCCCCAGAGCTCCTTACAAACCTCCTGCCCCACTCCAGAAGAACCTCTGGAGAGCAGAGAGCCCCAAGAAGCAGCGAGCTGGAGCTCCAAGAATCCGCAGCCTGTAAGCCAGTGGTAGCCAGAGGAAGGAGCTCCTCTCTCCACCAACCTAGCGCGCTCCTGGCAAACCTCCAGAATGGTGATACGTGCTCTCCCAGGAGCCCAGGCTAAAGCCTCCCTTATGAAGACCTCAGCTCTTGACTTTGGATTTCCCATGGTACTTTGCCATTGATTTCCATGTCCAAATGAACAGGATCTAAGATGGATTTTGGTAACTTTCCTTCTTTGTCCCTAACCCCTAGTGCTTTCTGAGGCTGGACAAGATTGAAAAATCAATTAATAATAATATTAATAAAGACCATTGGCCCTGTGCACCACTGAGCAATTAATTACCATAATTGTTCATTGACACAGCTCAAGATCACCTGGAGCAGCTCCCTACTTTGATAGATGAGGTCAGGAGAGATCAGTGAGCAATAGGCCTGGGCAGGGCCAGCCCTGAAGCCTGGGTCTCCTGAGCTCTTTGCTTCTCCCACAGCTCAACCTGGTTGTGAGTGACTCTCCAGATCTGTCTGCAGGCATCACCTGTGCCTTTGGGAACCTGACAGAGGTGGAAGGGCGGGTGGCCGGCAGCACTGTCATCTGCATGTCTCCTGGGCCCAAGGATGTCCCTGCCATCCCTCTGGATCAAGGTAAGACATGTCTGCTGCCAGACCTGGAGGCTGTGGGCTGCTCCACATAATGGGGCTATAGGTCACAAGTAGCAGGCACAGAGTTGCGCCACCCAGTCTTTCAATACCAGATGCTAATGCCAGCTTGGAGAACTTGCATCTGAAAATAGAGTGTCATGGCCCACAGCTCAGATTAGCATGAAGGGAAACACTTGCTCCTTGTGGGTTACAGCTGCAGAGTGCACAAAGGGCTGAGATGGCCTGGCCCTTCTGGGGATGAGGGCAGCTTCGTGCCTGGCTGGTTCTCTCCATAGACCTAGGATTTGAGGGGCTCTGGCTTGATATTTCTAAAATTATTTTAGCAACTAGACATCTCTGACTGAGGCCAGGGCCACCATGAAATCTGTTACCTCCTCCCTGGGTGTGGGTCTGAGGGGTGGGCAGGTAACCAGACAGAGGTTCTCTCAGGAGAAGGATCGGTTGGGTTCCATCTACTGTCTGTGACCCAGAAATGCCCTTTCCTGCAGATAACCCATGGAGCCCGCAGGTTTTCATTCCTTCTCATTCTACTTTTTTCCAGACTGGTTTGGACTAGAGCTGCAGCTGAGATCCAAGGAGACAGGGAAGATATTTGTCAGCACTGAGTTCAAGTTTTACAACTGCAGTGCCCACCAATTGTAAGAACTTGTGGGAATTGGCCTTGGGCAAGTGGAGTAGGGAGGTGAGAGTGGGGCTCCATCCCTCTGGGCCAAACTCCTTTAGGACAGAAGCAGTGTGGTAGGCGCCTTGTGGCTTCCTTAGAGGGCCAGGTACAATGTGTGGGCAGAACTGGACAGCATTCATGCTCCAAGGTCTTCAGGCTCATTCCAGCTCCCCCGCCCTCACTACCTCATTCCATCTCCCCCGCACTCACTACCCCAACTCTCTTAAGCCAGGACAGTAAAAGGGCTCAAGACCCAAGAGCCATGAGAAAAGATCTCCATTGTAGACCAATTGATGATGGCTTTGTACTTGGAGTTAAGCAAGTGAAAAAGAAGTCAGAACAAGGGGCATCAGCTACTCACATACCCCCCTGAGGATAAGACACAGAGAAAGTAGCCTCTCTGAGCACACAAAGAAAGGGCCTCAGGTAGAGGAACTGTAGAGCATTTAACTCCCCTGTGCTCCTAATCTGCCCTTCAGTTTGATAATCAGGAGGGAAAACCAGACAAACTGAACTATACCCCTAGAGGGGCTTGGGTTCAGCTCAGCTGACCTCACCAGCCACCTGCAGCACCTTGAGGCCTCCCAGTGGTGCCATCCCAAGAGGAGGCCCCACAGCTGTGCAGGAAGCCAGGAGCGGGAGCATTCAACAAGTAAAAGGAAAAGTCAGACATGAGGGAGAGAGGAGCCTATGCTTACATTCTTCTGATCCCAGAAGAGAAACTGAGGCATGGAAGCTGAGCCCTCATACACTGTTTGGATTAGAAAGAAATGTGTCTCATGCTTCGAGGACCACAGGATTGCCATAGGACTGACAATCATGGATGGGTGTCCAGCAAAGGGAAGCATGCAACCCACAGCTCCATGCCAGAGGGGTTGGCAATCGGGCAGAGCTTAACAGCCCTTCTTTCCCTTTGTTCAGGACAAGAGCACTGAGGTCTGTATACAGGCAGAACTCTAGGTTCAAGGAGTCTGTAGGGACCAAGTTGTGGGCACTGTGGGCTCAGCATCAAGGTGGGGAGGGGTGTGCTTGCCGGCAAGCCCCAAAGGAACTTTCAGCCATTAAAATAGACCAGTGAGCTGGTCCTTTGTCTCTCCCCATCTTGATTTGCATGATCAGAATCATCTTGGTTGTAATATCTCTACAGTAGCCAAGGAAACGTATCTGAACCCATTGGGACAACTCAATAGATACGCAGAGAAAGATGGAATAAGAGCTAAAAATGGCCAGCAAAGAACCAAGCAGCTCAAATGGTGGCCAAAGTTGAGATGGGCAAAAGTGGGCTCTGACTCCTGAATTCCAACCCCAGGTAGTTGCGGGAATGCCTATAACTCCAAGTGAGAACCTGCCAGCCTCCTCACAGACTAACATAGCAAGGCTAGGACCCAATGTTTGTGAAAACACCCTCACCTCCCTGGCAATTCAGTGTGACGTCACCACTTTCAGTGATGGGTTGCTATGGCAACAGAAATGCTGTCACAGGGAGCAGCAAGTTCTACCAGGGGAAAAAAAACTCATATCTCCTTGACAGACAGATTGCATTTTGTTGCCTATCGGGCTCTTCTCCCTTGGCATCCATATGTAAAAGTCACAGCATCAAGTTCAGTTCCTCTTTTTAATATGGTAGACTGAGGTCCAAGAGAATCAATGCTATAGTGAGCATCACAAAATTAGCCAGTAAAAGCGCTGTGTCTACAGCTCCAATAGATAGCATCATTTTTTGGTCCTTGGTCTCTTTTCATTATTTACTTGCTGAATCATGAGATCTTATCAAGAGTCAATCAATCAAAAAGTATGTGACAAAGCATTGACCTCAGCTCAGAGACTAAACTTTACACATAAGCAGAAAAGGAGAAAAGTCATTGACGGAGGTAAAGGAAGTGTAGATGGGCTACAGCACCTCGGCACACAGGCCTATGAGCCAGGTGACCCTTCCTTGCCGCCCCAGCCAGCCAGATAGAACCAGAGGCCCACCAGGTGGCGCCAGATTGCAGACCTCCATGGCAGGATGGTCTCTTTAGGAAAGTGGAGGTGATGCAAGCACTTGAGACTGACACTCGTGGTTAGCACTGTACTTTTCAAAGCCATTCCCTGTATGTTCTCTCATTTGATGCCGAACATCCCTGTGGAGCAGAGAGGACTATTTTATTACAGGCTGGTCAAAAACCTCCAACTCACAGACAAAAATGACTTACTCAGGTGAGTCTAGGCCCAGGCTCAGAGGCAAGACTGGACTCGTATCTGCCCAGGTTGCACCGCTGTGCTCCTGCAGCCTCTCTGTGTGATAGGCTGCTATGTGTTGGAAAAGATTTACTACCAGCAATTAGAAAAAAAAAATCTAGTTTGGGGACGGCAAGATAGCTCATAGTCTAAATCACCTGTTTAGGCAAGCTTAGGCAAGCACACAGGAACCACGGTTCAATCCCTGGCATCACATGCTGAGCCAGCCCCACCCTCCAAGGTGAGCTGAGCCAGCCACACACACACACACACACACACACACACACACACACAAAAAAACCTCTAGTTTGTAGCATTTGCCAATTTTTGTGGCTTCAACACACCCACCAAGGCAAATTTTCAAACTCCCAACATGATGTCAGGGTCCTTATAAGATATATTCTCCATCTGAGGTGTTCCTGCAGCCAGAAAATTAGAAAGAAACCAGGACTAGAGTTACAGAATCTTCAACCCACCTGGCTGTTCTCCTGCGAGGAAGACTAAGATATACATAGACTTCCAGCATGACATGTACCTGCAAGCCTGAGCTCTTGCTGTCCCCATCCTTGCAGGTGCCTGTCCTGTGTCAACAGCGCCTTCCGCTGCCACTGGTGCAAGTACCGCAACCTCTGCACTCATGACCCCACCACCTGCTCCTTCCAGGAGGGCCGCATCAATATTTCAGAGGTAAGAAGTTTCACCATGGCCTGGCCGCATTCTCACTGAGTCGGAGCTGCCTTTGGGGCTGGTCAGTCCATTGGCTTGGCTGTCGCTGGTCCTGGCCCACATGAGTCCTCTTGCCCAAGATTCTTCATGTCAGGAAGCCATGTCACTATAAAGCTCAAAGATGTGGTAACAAGTGACTCCAGAAGGAGAGACTGTGTGTGTGTGGCTCCTCAGACTCAGCACATTCAAAAGCTTGAAGGTAGTGCATTGAGAACAAAGGCAGAGAGGACACAGCCAGCCGGACTCTGGAGGAGTATCGCAAGGGGTGCTTATGCTAAGTCCTGGGCTTTGCTTGGCTGCAGACATGGTCTAGTTCAACAGAGCAGCCAGCCTCAGCAGTGCTTTCATGCCAGCTTGTCTTCCAATGCTAACATTCAGGGATTCTCTAACTCTGACTCTGACCGGTTGGTAGCCTTGGAGAGAGAAACCCAAGCTAGTGAAAAGAAGCTGCCGTGGCCAAGTGTCTGTTTTATCATACAAAACTTCACCCCTAAAGCCTGCTGCACTTCGGTTATCAACACAGTGACCTATGACACGGCTTATCTTTCCAAACATTCTTTCAATCAGCGATTGAGGTGTTGACTTTCCACATGTCCCCAGCACCCCTCTGCTAGTCAGTCTGCCCTGCTCTTCATGCCCAAAGATGAGCAGTTTGTTTTGAACAACTGTGAAGACCATATGTGTTCACACAGATGTCCACATCCATGTACATGCATTTCCTCTTGTTCTATGTTTTAGAAAATTCAAATAGCAGTGATGGTGTAGCATTTTCCTATCCTACTGTCGGCTTCATACACCTCTCCCTGCTGCATGGGATGGCAAGGACTTTATTGTTCAGCTCTTGGGACCTTTTTCAGTGGCTGTTGGCAGACTGCGTGCAAGGGATAATGATGGGCCCTTATTCCATGATGGAAATCGTGCCTGTCTGTCTGAGATGCCAACAGCTAGAGGCTTCTGGGTCTCCATTAGTAAACATGGGAAGAGAGAACTTCAGAGTTTCCTGAAACAAACTCTCATAGCCATGGTTTCTCCTTAGTTTCCAAAACAATATGTTCTAGAAAAGTGAAACTCATCTACCTGGAAATGGAGAGATATAAATGGTAGCATGAGAGACAGACTCCTCCACAGAGCCTCAGAGTGGTGGGACCAGGTACCTGGTGCCTGAGGATTACCCCAAGGGGAATTCTCTCTGCCCAGTGGGTGCGCTGGCACACTACTGGCTAAAAGCACCACGCTGGCCTTACTGGACGTTGGGAGCTCATTTCAGCCCTGAGATTCCACAAGGGAAGGAAACCTACCTTCTTACCTTGGGAAATGGCCTGAGAGCTGAGGGCTAAAGCAGAATATGGCTTGGAATCCTGCAGGGCAACAGCTAGGGGAGCAGCCACAGGAGGGCCGGGGAGTGAGTGAGAGATCGTGACCGACAGCCTCAGAAATTGCCCTTCACTTTAGGACCCCAGAGCCCAGAATCAGGGTGCGGTGCAGGTGTAGACCAGAGCCTGCCTCATTTGGCCACCCCCTAGGCAGAGAGAACCCCAAAGCCACACCTGAATGCAACCTTGCAGCTGGAAAGGAGGTGAGCCCTTAAGGTCAGTTCTCTCTTTGTAGGAGAATAGAGGCCTGAGGGCTGATCCCCAAGGCTACCTGCAAGCAGGCCAGATCTCCTGAGCACCAGTAGCTGCCCAGAACTCCAGCTCCCTCTAGGCCATGACCAGAGTTTCAGGCATTCCAGAGAGAGCTGTTGCCTCCCAGCTGCTCAAGTACAAATTAATACCAAAAAGAGCCCCTGGAAAGTACAACTTCTGGTCCTTTCCAATCCAATTTCATATCCTTGAAGTCTGGGGCTTGGCAGTAGAGGAAGGGTTCTTCTGTCTCCTCCATCTCCATCCCCTGGAGGGAGATTGGACCTGATGACCGCTCTCTTTCTGGCTTGCATGCTGGGCTCGACATGCTGCAGGGCCTGACTTTCAGGAGGACCATGAGGGGAAGCCCAGACTTAAGGAGATATTGTGCAGAGGCCCCTCGAGGTTGCCAGGGCCACTTCCTGTGCTTCCCAAACACCTCAGCTCTCCACCATAGTCCATCATATATAGTCATGCTCAGGTCCTGGACTTTGCTGCCCGCAGCTCTGCTCTAGAAGACCCCTATATTCCTGAAACTTTGAGGGACAGCAGAGGTGCAGTGCCAAACTCGGGTGAGTTTCCTTTGCTCCCTCAGGAGCCCCGTTCCATCGTGCCATTACCAGGTCTAGGCATCCCTTACTGTGTCTCCAAGGTCCTTAGATTATCCTCTTTTTACTTCCAACAATGTGGCAGGTCTTTGAGTCAAATTTTATGTATCTCTGCCTTCTAGAAATAATATATAGCTGATTATCTCCGTTGGATAATGTAGCAATATTAATGCATCACACATTTGTCACTTTTTCACACAGGGTGGGAATTCTCCAAGAGTGCTTCCAGGAGCATGCACACCACTCACATCACCCACAAACTAGTTAGAAATTCAAATCCGTGGGTCCCAGTCTGGTTGGTGCTGAAGACTGAGAACCACTGACGTATGACGTTTCAGATGATGCTGGAAACAGCCCAGGAGCTTCACATATGCGTATCTCACACCTATAGGAGCCAAGAAGCCAAAATGTAGGGGCTTTGCCCAAGGCAGTAGATAACTCAGGCATCCCAAACCCTGAGTAGTGTGCTTTATACAGAAAACCAGAGCCTATGAGCATGTTGACCCCAAGGCAGCATGCCCCTTGCAGGATAGATTCAGCCTGGCCCCTTGCTGGTGGTCATGAGGGTCCAGGATGTGGCTGAGCCAGTGCACATCCATCTCCACAGGTGGAGGAACTGCCCATGGAAGGCAGGTCAACAGTGCCCTTCCCAGACATGATGGGGAGAATGTAGGCATACGCACTGCCTCTGCTCCCATCATTGCAGAGTCATGCTGACATTTGACCAAGAGGAGCAGCTCCCCTGAGGAATGCCATTCAAATATAAAAATATGAGAAGGTAGCACCTGTTGGTTGCTCCTCATATATGCTGCATTGTGTGTGTGTGTGTGTGTGTGTGTGTGTGTGTGTGTGTGTGTGTATGCATAACTCTCACTCAATCTTCAGCTGCTCTGTGAAGGTGGTTCTAGGACAGATAGGCCGAGTTCTAAACAAATGAAATATTTTCACGGCTATCATCAGTTGAATACAGACATCAGGACTCAGAGTCAGTGTCCCAAGCTGACTGTGACTAAGCGGACATTCTCTATTGCTGCGTACACACACACACACACACACACACACACGTGAACAATGCACTACAATGACACTAATAGTTGTTAGTCTGGCCTCTTGCCACTTACGTCATACTTCACACCCTCCTTTCATGCCATCTAGGGTTGTCAGGTAGCATGGCCACCACCGTATAGATGAGGAAACAGAATACAAACTGGGCCAATAACGAGGCAGGCCTTTCTCACACGGCAGCTCTCTGGTGGGCCCCAAGCTCTGCCTCCCCAGGCTGGATAAGGCTGTGACATGGTGAGCAAGCGGTGTGTGCAGGAGTATGTATGTCTTTCAGCTTTTAAAACTCATCTCCCTCCATGGCTAAACCAGGCCTAGTGAGATGTAGATACATAAATACCTTCTTTACACCCTGCCCCAGGGGAAAGATAGAACCAAATAAATCCGATTAGCTTTCCAGGATGCTGGCTGCTGTCTCTCTTTGAAGTCCAGTGGGTGAAGATAATGCCATTTCCACATGGGAGAAGTCGTTTCAGAAGGCCAACAGGTCCCAGCAAGAAACTGCCAGTGCACAGGGGCATCCAGAGGATTGCACAGCCCCAAGGCGCGCAGTGCTCCATGTCAGGGTCCCTGCCACCCCGTAGTTGAATCCACTCTCCAGCCTCCTCCAGCCCTGATGTCCCCACATACAACATCTGTGCATCTCAGGCTAGATGAAGATGCTGCTGAGGAGGTGATCTGGCTATAGTTGGCCATTGGACAGGAGGCCTAAGAGGACCAAAAGATGTTACTCCAATAGATGGGAGGGTCAGTCGGACCAATTAGCCTCTTAAGAATGTTAATAAGTGTTAACATTTGACAGAGAAGCATTTATGATTACTGCCTTTCCAGTCCTTTGAATAAGTGTGTGTGTGTGTGTGTGTGTGTGTGTGTGTGTCCACAGAATCAAGTGGCTTGGAAATGACCTCATTATATCTGATGCAACCCATCACCTTCCTCAAGCCCCAGATGTATTAAAGTTCCAACACATTGGCAGTTCCCCAGCCGCCAGCTCTTCTGCACCAGCTTTCTCCTTCCCATGGCCACTTCTACCCACGACCTAGCACCCCTCGCTGGTGGACTCACCAGAATCCTCCCACAGCCCCAAAGTCTGAAGGTCCCATTGTGCTCCCATTGCCCACAATAGAGAGAGCACCATGGACTCCAACGACTTCTTCCCTTTGCTCCAAAACACAGAAGGAAAACTCCTGTCTGGCCTGAGAGCAGTAGCCAAACAAATAAAGCCTAAGAGATTCTTTCTCTATAAGGGCAATCCTGCAACCTGTTTGGCATTTGAGAAGATCCTAAATCTAATTCCTAAAGATCTGAAATAGCAGACCAAGGGAAAGTCTTCTGAAATTCTAGGATCCCTTCAAATACTCTTGAGAGTCTTCATAAAGTGTGCTTATCATTCTCCAAAGCCCATGCAGGGCAAAGCAGTGTGTGTGTGTGTGTGTGTGTGTGTGTGTGTGTGTGTGTGTGTGTACACTTTATACGTGGTATACATGGTCATCTCTGAGTACCATGGGAAATTGCACCTAGTACCCCATCTGCTGGAAGCTCAATTCCTTTGGTTATATGCAAATAGTGCAATATTTGTGTATAACCCATGAACCTTCTCCTGAATATCTTAAATCATCTCTGTATTACTTATAACAACTAATACAGTGTGAATGCTGTGTAAATCAGCCCTACTGTACTGTTTAAAGAATAACAACAAGAAAAAGGTCTGTACATGTTAAGAACCTATGGAATTCTTTTCAAACATTTTTTGATTCTTGGTTGGTAGAATCCACGGATACTGAGAGCGGATTGTGCTTTATGTTATCAAAATTAAAAGAACTGTACAGGGGTTTACCAACCCTAAACATCATACTTCCCAACACCCATCTCAAAGACACTGCTACTGAAATTTGAGATTTTATTCTGAGCTCATTAGAGATGACCGACAACTGCTCACCACTTGGAATATATCAAGTGGTTCAGAATCTAAAAGTCTATTCTCCCTCACAAGCGGTGTGCACATGCATGCACACACATACAACACTATCTATCTATCTATCTATCTATCTATCTATCTATCTATACCGCATTATACCTTAGCCTTGTTTCTATCCTACATTACTTATCATATTTGATGTTGAAGTTTTTAGCCACTAAGAGAATGGGACATAACATCCTTCTCCACCAAATGTCTGGGTTTCCCAAAAGTGGAGTTTTCTTTTTTTGTTTTTTTTCTTTACTATAAATACATGAAAGCCTCTATCAAGAATGCCACAGGGAGCGACAGCAGAAGTGCAGTAGAGAGTAGCTGGGCGCGGAAATCAAGTGCGAGCTCGTGTATAGACCCATGTGTCCCAGGGTTGCCTCAGGATCCTGCACCTTGTGGCAGCTGCGCCTGCCTCGAAGCCTCACATGCCGATGGCCAAGGGACAGAAGACAGCACTAGTGAGCCTGAAGCTGCATGCAGACCCGCCCGGACAGACTTCTGTGGGAAGTGCCCGCTGGCCAGCACATGGAATCCCCGCAGTTCCTTAACAGACTCCCACACACCCGTACTGTGATCAGGTGGCTCCGGGAGCCATGGCCCTCTCCAATCCCAGTTTCTAAAACCCGAAATCCTCCTCACATCTGCTGATGCACAGGAGTCAGGCTCTCCCTCACCTCTAACCAATCTACAAAGGTGAAGCTGAACTGAAGTTTGAAGATCCCTTCACCTTTTGCTTTGTTTTCTTCTTTATATTTAGCATCCCGTGAACAAAGACCAAGCTCAGCAAGACATAGGTCAGAAGCTGAGATGAAAACTCAGGGTAAAGGGGCAGAAAAGAGGCAAATTTCTTGTCTGGAAGCTCCCTACAATCACAGAAATTCGGCAGTCCCTACTCTAGGACAGCAAATGCCAGTAGCATCCATTGCAGGCCTCATAAGTAACTCTAGCCCCAGGAATTCCCAAAAGCTCCTTCCAGGAGCAAGGTCTAGGAGAAGGGGGTGGGAAGGAGGTTCCCCTGGAGTTGATCCTTAGAGATAGGAAATGGTTCTCTGGGAAGGAGATTTCCATATCCTCGCTGCCAGGAGCTCACGGCTTCCCTGGAAGAGAAGGAGTAGAAGGAGGAAATTGGAGCTGATAGAGAAGCAGCACGCAGATGCAGAACAGAAAAACTCAATCTCTTTCTCACTTTCTCACTCAGGGTCCTTCCCATGCTCCTCCTGCCGCAGCTTTCTTGCTTGGGTTTTGTTTTCCAAAGCAACATGGCATTCATGCAGGGCCTGGTAATGAAATGAGATAAAAAGCCAGAGCAAGTATTTAGAGCAACGCAGGGAGGGCCTGATCCAGCTCCTAGAAAGCCCAGCTCTGCTGGAGCCAGGAAGCTGAAGCTGACGATAACGGGCTGCCTCAGGCACTGGACAATGTGAGGGGCAAAGGAGCCAGTGCTGTGGAGCCAGATGAAAACAGAGTGGGAGCCCGAGCTGGGGGCAGGCGCTTTGATTCAGTGTCTTAGGGATGAAATCCACAGCGTGCCGTATTGATGTTAGAAAATTAATTCTTGGACTGTGATGCACAGGCCTGACATCTTTGCAGGACGCTGATGTAGTGCCTGTCTTAGTTACTTCCTTATCACTGACTGGGACATAGCTCCCAACACCCATAACTTACAGAAGGAAAGGTTTACTGTGGCTCACAGTTTGTAGAGGGTTCAGTCCGTAGTTGGCTAGCTCTAAGGCCGAGCAGCAGGGCAAAGGAAAAGGCATGTGGTGTGGCAGGCAGGAAACACAGAGGGACCCTGGAGTGCTGGGAGATATCATTTTCCCTGGTGATGGGGCACGGCCCTGGACACAGAGTCTCTGGCCTGCCATCAGAGCAGCCCCTGCCTACGCCCAAGCGAGTCAGGGTGTGGGTGGAGGGCAGCTCGAGCCTCTCTGCTTGCTCCCCAGGACTGTCCCCAGCTGGTGCCCACAGAGGAGATCCTGATTCCAGTTGGGGAGGTAAAGCCCATCACCCTCAAGGCTCGCAACCTGCCCCAGCCGCAGTCCGGCCAGCGCGGCTATGAATGCGTCCTCCACATCCAGGGGGCCGTCCACCGGGTCCCCGCCCTGCGCTTCAACAGCTCCAGTGTCCAGTGCCAGAACAGCTCGGTAAGAGGCCAGGTGGGCCAGACCGGGTGCAGGGCTTTCTCTCCTGCCCATGCCAAGGCCTCAACTGACCCCACTCCCTAGGAACAGAGGCAGCCACAAACATCCCCGGCCCCTCATTCAGCCAAGGCTGGGCAGGTTAGAGGTACTGGGGAGATGAACCCCCAGAGGAGCCTCACTGCAGAGCTTGAGATCTTGAGATCTTGCTGACATTCAGAGAATGAATTCCCTGTTCCCACACAGAGTATGAAGGACCAGAAGGGTGTCACTGGCAACTGTGAGAAAAGCACGGTAGGAGGTGGGAGGGGGAAAGAAGGAGGGCACATTTTGAGAACAGCAAGGGTTAAATCTGCCCCAGTGGTGGAGGGAAATCACAGGAGGTGTTTCATTATGGTCTGGCCCAGGGAAGATGTTTTTATCAGCCAGCTCCTTGTCTCTGACCGTGGGGGGTCAGCGCAGAGATGGGGGACTGACAAAGGTGTGGAGGGAAGCTAATTCGCCTGGGAGAGATAAAGAGAATCTGGGCCTCTTATCAGGGAGCTGTCAGAATCCGGGGTCACAGGCACTTGATAGAATTTGTAATCGGTGGAAGGCGCCTAGCACAAGCGGAAGCGGGTGAGGAAGAAATGGAGCGCAACAAAGGAGGGGCTGCAGGTGGGACCAGGGCAGGGGTGATGTGACCCCGGAGCTGCATGACCCCAGAGCTGCATGGCTGGCCTCAGAGGATGTCTGGGGCCTTCTTCCTAGAGGTGCCCGTGGGAGCTGAGCCCCCCCACTGGGCTCTTTCTCAAGTGTGTGAAGCAGTCCTCTGTGGATCAGCAGGAGAGGAATGAAGCTAGTGGCATTTGCAGTGGGGTGGTGACATCTGCCAGGGGGCAACTGAGCCTGCAGAGAAAAACAGCACAGGGCCAGGCCAGCCAGCAGCCTCACCTGATTGTCACTGTGAGCCCTTCCAGGCCCCGCAGGGGTGACAGGGCAGCCGGAGGGCACTGGCTCTGTCACCAGACATACAGCCTCTCCTGAGAGACACAGCCCACTGTGAAAAGATGCAGGGCAGCAGCTCCGAGAAGGACCAGGTTAAAGACCAAGTGACAGCTCCAGAGGCCAGGAAGGCGAGGGGGGCTGGCAGCAACGATGCCCCGGGGAAGATAACCCAAGTGCGACTGAAAAAAGAAGAATGTCTCAAAAGGATGAGGTTGCAGGGAGAGAGGGGACACCTCTAGCTTCATGGCCTTCCTCTTGCCGACCCCCTTCACACACTTCAGAAAGCACCCAGTGGGGTGCCTCAGTTCCCACTGGCACTGCTAGGAAGAAAAGCCCAGACATCCCCAGAGGGGCTGCCCAGTCCAGCTACATGTCACCCCTTGTGCCATAGGAATGCCACCCAGACACAAAGGGGCACCAGCAGTTGTGTATGGAGATAGGCAGGTTGAAGATCTTCATAAGGAAAGAGACAATAGCTTGGATAAGATGGCACAAGGCAGTGAATGGGGGTTAAGGGGTCGAGGTGGCTTGCTGGTGGAGCTAGTGGCTGAGTCAGAGAAGGGCTGCCGTGGGAGTGCCGGTGCGCTGCAGCCCCGGCCCCTAGCGACAGGACCACATGTGTACCTTCCCTGCAGTACCAGTACGACGGGATGGACATCAGCAGCCTGGCCGTGGACTTCGCCGTCGTGTGGAATGGCAATTTCATCATAGATAACCCTCAGAACCTGAAAGGTAAGCAGCCCCTTCCAGGTAGAGCTTTGATCTTCGAATGACCCAGGGAAAGACTAGGGCTGGAGGGATCAGAGCCGGCCGGCTGCTGTGCCTTGGATAATACACTCTCCCTGTCAGCAGAATTCTTCAGAGGATCCTAAAGCGACGTTTGGAGCCATCAAAGGCATCCTGGCGGGAGCCCTGTTTTATTACAGCTGGAGCATCTATCGGGCGGGCGGCTGCTGGCTCTCCATGTTATTCTTCGGCTCCTGGTGGCTTTGAAGTGTCTGTGGAGCCTGACCTAGGAGAACAGCAGGCAGGAACGTCCCGCCCGTTTCCTTGGAAATGGAGATATTGTTTCCACTCTGGCTCTCACTCCTCTCACTCCCCTGTCCTTGGTTCTGGTCACGGTCACTACACAAAAAAGGCTTCTGAGAGACTGAGCTCTTGGTCCTGAGGCGGAGAGAGGGAGTAGCAGGCTGACCCAGGCGCCCCCCTGGGGCAGAGAAGCTCAGGAAGAAGCGCTAGGCCGGAGCAGAAGGGGCACTGCTTGACCCGCCTTGGTGCTCCCTCTGCGAGGGGGCGCAGTGCTCCCTCAAGAGCACCCACTCATTAAGTGATCTGTTTGAAATTCATTTTCATAATTACCACAACTCTGAGAGGTCTGCACTGTTATTATTCTCATTTTGTAGACAGGAAAGTGAAATCCAGAGAGGTTAAGAAAGGGACCCATAGTAAGAGTGAATATTTGGACCCACAATAGTTTAATTTCAAACTGGCGTGCAAGTTTAACCCCATCCCTGGGAGGACCTGCGGGCCAGCATGCTGTGGGATATGCACCCTCACCTCACAGAGGACACCCAGCCCTGCCCCACCATACATCAGCGTCTCCTTGCTCTTTACCCCTTTCCCATACTGGATAGTAAACCCAGGCCCTTCACACCCAGCTCTATCCCCAGACCTTTTTTAATTTTGAGACAGTGTCTCACTGCGTTGCTGAATTGCCTGGGCTGGGCTCAAACTTCCAACCCTCTGCCTCCTCCTCCAGGAGTGCTGATTGCAGGCATGCATCACCACACCCTGATGCCCTGCTGTTCATATAGTGAGCCTTGCCGGCCTTGGCTTCTACCTGAGAGCCACACTTAGGCACCAGGAGGGGTCAAGGCCACAGATGGTCTGCAGGTGCCTCGGCCTTTGCAGGCTGCAGGTCCTTGTCCCCGGTGCTGCCATTGAAAGCACTGCGGTTTAGATTAGGAGAGAGAAGTGGAGCCAGGGGGATTGTTTGTCCCTTTTCTTCTCTGAGCCAACCAAATTTTCTCACCAGCAAGTGAGAGCAGACACTTTCCTTGCTGAGGATCTGGGCTTGGATCCCAGAGGCTGTCTTTGCACCTGGAGCCTGGAGAGAAACAGCCCCATCCACACTGGGCATTGAGCTCTCTCGGTGCCTGTGTAGCTCTTTGAGAGCACGGCAGCCACCCATGCTTCACATTTGTGCCCTCCCAGAGCCTGGCTATCAGGAGAGGCTACACACTTTGCTGGGCTGAGGCCACTGTGCTTAAGACCCAGGTCCTAGAACCCTACAAGCTAAGATTCAACTGTAGGCCTTTCCATTTGCAGCAGCATCAAGTCAGAGAGCTCCCATCTGCATCCCCGGTCCTCACCTTCTGTCTCCACCCATCCCCCACGCTGTGCAATGGGGAAAGGACGGCCGCTGCTCAGGGTCATCAAGGAGCCAGTGAGCTAGGGCCACATAGGCCAGTATGCACTTGGCTTTCTTGCCCTCTACCTGTAATCCCAGCTCTTGGGAGGCTGTAAACAGGCAGATCACTATGAGTCCAATTTAGTAGTGAGACCCTGAACACCCTGTTAGACCCTTCCCTAAAAAACACAAAAAAATGAAAAGGAGTTGAAAAGTGACTTTCGGAGCACATCCACCCCTTAATATCCACGGTGAATTGACTCAAAGATCCCCTGGAGATTCCATAGCCCAAGGATCTCAGTTCCTTTGTAGACTGTCACTGTTTCCCATGTTCTAGATCCCTTGTGTAATATAAGGTCAGTGCTACACACACAATTGTCAGATTGTGTTGTTTATGGACTAATGACAGGAAATAGGTCTGTATGTGTTCAGTATATACCCACTTTTTAAAAATACTTTCTTTTTCTGTATTTAGGACAGGGTCTATAGGGTATAAAGGTTCTCACTACATAGATCAGACTTACAGTGATTCTCCTGTTTTTAGCCTCCCAAGTGCTGGGATTACAGTTATGTGCCACCACGGCCAGTCTCAATCACCATCTCAGTGCACCCTGCAGGTGGGGCCAGCACAGCATGCTGGGGATCAAGCCCGGCCGCTGCATCTGCCTAAGCAGGCACTCTAGTTCCCTGAGCTCTCAGGCTGGCCCTTAAAAAGTACTTTAAATTCACAGTTGGTTGAATCCATGGATACAGGACCCACAAATATGGCAGGCCCACTGTATTTCGTTTCTGAAAAATTCTTTTGGGACTCTGAGTTCAAACCCTAGCAACAAGGAGCTAAGACCCAAGCTCAGAAAACACAGTTCCTCTGACTGGGTGGTTCCACCAGGGCTTTTAAGTCAACAGGAGACAAAAGCAAAGACAAAGAGTTTGGAGACCGCACCTGCAACTGTAAAGGAATCAGTGCATCCCCCCCCCATTCCCCATCCCCAGGGGTAATGAAAAAGATGGTGTTGTGCTCTTCCCTTGGCAGTGGCTCACCATTGCCAACCCCCTTGGCTTTCTTTAAGCCCCAGATAGACTCCTCCTGGACCCACACACCTTCCAGCACACTGGGGGTGATGCCTCTCTTCCTCGACCCCAACGTCCAGCAGCATTGCAAGCTGGAGCTTCAGGGTCTCCCAGCTTGTGGCACTGACTTTGGCGAGCTGCGAGTCATTACATTTTTCTTTGAGAATGTCCACTTTTACCTGAATAAGGAAATGAGCCCTCCCTGCTTCAAAGGAGGGCTATATGTGAGCATAGGAAAATGGCAGATTGGGAGTGCAGTTTGAGTTCAAAGGGAAGATAAGCATGCGTAGAACATCAGATATGGTGCAGGGCTGGGCTCACTACTTACTATAGGGCATTTCTCTCAACCCTCCAAAGAATGCAATGATTATTTCTGTGTTAGAGATAGGGAAGTAGGTTAAATACTTTGTCACATTGCTAAGAAGTAGTGAAGCCACAATTAAAAGGCCTGATCTGGTTCAGTCAAGAGCCAGAAGTCTTAGGTTATGTGCAGTCTTCAAATAACTCCTAAGAGGTGCATCTTATTATTCCCATCAGGCATTCTGGTCATGATGGTGGTGGGTGTTGTTACCATGGTCGGGCACACTGTAGGCAGCCTCTGCAGGCCCATCTGTGACCGGGCCTCTCTCTTTGCAGTGCACCTCTACAAGTGCGCAGCCCAGCGGGAGAGCTGTGGCCTCTGCCTCAAGGCTGACCGCAAGTTTGAGTGTGGCTGGTGTAGTGGAGAGCGCAGATGCACCCTTCACCAGCACTGCACCAGCCCTTCCAGCCCCTGGCTCGACTGGTCCAGCCACAATGTCAAGTGCTCCAACCCCCAGATCACTGAGGTGAGTCCCTAAATTCCCATAGGATGGCCAGGGGCATGAGGGAGAAAAGCAAGGTGCAGCTTGGACGATGGACTCCTGGAGTTGAGTGTGTCTAATGGGGAGGAGGGTATAGAAGGCCTGTCCTGCATGACTCACCAGCCTGCCCAAGTGTCCCCCACAAGTGTTTGGAGCACGTCTTCTTCATGCGGGTACATACGTTGCTGGGCACACATGCATACCGCCAGGGCTGCACAGCCAGCCCAGTTGCCTGCCAGGCTAGCTGAGCCAGGTGGAGACAGGACGTTAGCGCCATGCTGGGAGAACATTCCAGCAAGCAAGCTCAGTTCTGCACAGCAGACACGCGTTTTCAGGAGCTGCAATTAGCTCAGAGTTGCCGCGTTGAAAGACAGGCAGTGCCTTAGCCACTGTACCATTTCCCAGGGTTTAGTCTCTGTCCCGATTTGTTTGTGCAATTTAATGGGAAGAAATAGGTAATTAATTATACGAGGGAAAAAGTAGTGTTTCCAAAATAGCACATTGCAAAGGAAGATGAATAGATGATGTGGATGCAAACGCAGCTGCCGAGTTTGAATGGGCTGGAGAAGAGTTGCATTTAACTTGGGCTGCATGGTGTGCTCAGCACTGTTCACAGCTCTCATTTCAGCCACTGTCACTCGGGTTTTGAAGCTAATTACACATTCCTGGTGCTGACCAGGAATGGAGGCCTGTGCAGGCACCACAGTGACCAGCAGGTGTGCAGAACCTGGCCGGGGTTGCTTCCTGTCTGCAGCCTCCCTGAGCTGATGCCCTGGCTCTTTTTCTGGCCTCAATTTCTCTGTTGGCCAAAGAAAGTAATTCTGGTGCTCAGCTCTGTCACAGCACTGGGAGATTCCTTGAGCACCTCTACCTGTGATCACAGCAAGCAAGGTAAAGCAGAACAAAAAAATGAGAGAAGGCTGAAGAAGTTGAATATGCTCAAGTTGCAGTGAAGGTGTGACAGTCAGTTTTTGAGCTGAGATTCAATTATAAAACCATCTCAAATTTTTCTACGATTTGCCCAGATAACATACAACCAGAAGTGTTGTTTTTAATTCCTTCTAGCCCTTTCCTGCTGGTGTGGGCCAGGTAGATGTGACCCAACTATGTGGCCCTGGATAAATATGTATCTGGGACTTCACTCAGCTGCACAGGATGAAGTTATGTGGGTATAGACATGGTCCCATGAAGGGTAGGCAGCACCATCCCATCTCGATCTCAAATGAGGCCAGTGACAGTGGCTGTTGACATTCCCTTTGTCTTTAGAGAATGTATGCAGGGGCTGCAATTGGTGCCCCAGACTGCCCTCCGCCAGCCAGCTTCCTGAGCTGCTCCGGCTCCGTGCTTTGTCCTTGACTCTGGTGATTTCCAGAAGCTGCTGGCCTGAGGGCTTGCGCTGTTCTATAATTCCTGCGGCTGCAGTTGCCTATCTGTGTGCCCGTTGGCACCTGTGGTGCAGAGAGCTTAACTGGGGCAGAGTTTGCAGTGTATCAGCCCCTCCCACCTCTGCCAACCGGAAACACTACCCCAAGTCTGGCAGCCGTGGGCTCCCCAGCGGCCAGCCCCTTCCCAGCCCCCAGGCAAGCTGCTCAATAAGGAGCTTCTGCCTCAGCCACCCCTGCTCAGTGACCGGGATGACAGCCTGTCCTGTTCACAGAGGATATCCCAGATCCCAGAGGCTAATTAACCCCCTGAGGTAATGAGGCTGTAATTGATTTTCCCACTGAACATCTCAGTAGGAGTCAGAGGTTCCAAGTCTCTGGTGGTGATTTTCATGTTGAGCTGTTGAGAAATGAAACAGCATCTTCGCAAAGAGACAGACACTTGCTGTGTTCTGAGCTACTCGAGGGACATCGCTCCGGACAGGACGTGCGGGAGGGAGGAGCCAAGCCCAGAATCATATGTTCGCTGCTATCTGTCACATTTCCTCTCACTTCACATCCGCCGCCCCACCAGACCTCCCTAACATGCAGGGAGAGGCCAGATGCTGCTGGCCTGAGGACCTATTTATCTCTGCGCCGGTCGGCACCTGTAGCGCAGACAGCTGAGGTGGGGCAGGGCTTGGAGTCTGTCAGCACCTCCCACCTCTGCCAGCCTGGGGTACTTTTCTGTTCCCTAAGTTTTCATTTTTGAAATAACCTCAAATTTATTTTTTTAAAAAGACACAAAAATAGTACCAAGAACTTTCGTATTCCCTTCGCCCAGATTTCTCAAAGTTAATATCTTATATAACCACAATATAATTATCAAAACCAGGAACTTAATATTGATTCAATAATACTATCTAATACACACGCTTTATTAACATTCTGCCAATTACCCCAGTGACAGCCTCTATTCTGGTCCAGAATCCCATCCAGGATCCAATCCAGGATCTCATGAGACGCGCCACTGCCCTATCTCCTGAGTGCTATATCCGTAGCCATGCCATCCCTGATTCTCTTCGTGTTGTTGAAGAGTCCAGGACAATTATTTTATAAAATGTTCCCAATTTGAATATATCAGATGCTTCCTTGTGAGGAAATTCAGGTTATAGCACTAAATTCAAGTTTAGTACTTTTTGGCAAGAAGTACTAAGACCGTTCTGCAGAGTTCACACTTTTGTATGTTTCTCCCATGATTTTTTATTTCTGCACAAATTGTCCCCACCTTGGTGCCACTGCTGAGGGCAGTAAACAGAAGCATGGGTTATAGAGCTCCTTCCTGGGGCAGAAGAGGATGCCGCAATGGCTTGTGCGGTGGCAGAACTTCCAGTCCTGGAAATAAATGGAGGCAGTGAAGGGGTGCTGCCCTGCTGCTGGGGTGGAGAAAATGAATAAGCTGGTCTTAAGCAGAGGAGTGGGCTCCCTCGTAGTTAGATGAGCAGCTGTGTTCTTCCTTAACCCTTCCTTACCCTCACTGTCTCCATGGCAACCAAGCCCACCTCTAGAGACCCATCCTTTATGGCAGCTTCATGTAGGACAAGTTGTACAGCCTATTGAATTTCCCAGTTTGCACGAAGCTCAGGTTAGGACCCCCTCAGGACTCACCGTCTGCTCTTTCTCAGCCAGCTCACAGCATGATAATGACGCTGTCCCCTGCGGGAGGTGGCCCAGGCTGCTCCCATTTCCAGCTGTCATCTGGGCATCTGTGCATATGTCACCTGTTCAACCCCAGAAGCAGGAGACAAAGCAGAGGGCTGAGGAACCCATGCTGTGCCTGCCCACTGCCTTTCTGCTCACCCCAGCCTATACTCTGGACCTATGGGGGGCTGCAAAAAGGAGGAGATGGGGAGCCACTCCCTGGAAAGGAGGGTTGGGAAAAGCATTTCCTAAGAAACCAGAAGGAAGAGTGAGGAGACTGAGTACGTTCTCAGGAAAAGAAGCCTTAAGTGGGTGACAAGGCTCCTGAGCGAGTGCCAACGAGGTGTCCCCTCTGCTCCACACTGTAGGTGAGTTCCCAAGGTCTGCTTAACAAAATGGCACACACAAGGTGCCTTCGGCTACAGAAGCACATTTCCAAAGAGATCTGGAAACAGAAGTCCATGATCAAAGCATGGCAAGGTTGGTCCCTGCAAGCCTTTGGGCCTCTCTCCTGGTGTCTGGTGCTTTGCTGGTGGCCCTGGTAGCCTTGGCATTGTAGAAGTATCACTCAGCCTCTGCCTATCATGTGATGTTCTCCCTGTGTACAGCATTCTCTTAATTTTTTTTCATGTATTTGGTACAGGGCCTCACTATGCAGCTCAGACTCATAGTGATCCTCCTGTTTTCAGCCTCCCCAGTGCTGGGATTATAGGCATGCACCACCAGGCCCAGACTTGGTGGCCAGCTTAGCGCACCTCCATGGCATGTGGTGCCAGGGATCAAGCCCTGGTCCCTGCGTTTGCCTAAGCAGGTGCTTTAGTCTGCTGAGCTATCTTGCTGGCCTGCCTTAATTTTTTTTAAAGGACACCAACCAGATTTGTTCAAGACCCACTCTAATAACCTCATTTTTAACCTGATCACTTCTACAAAGATTCTGTCTCCAAATAATGTCACCTTTTGAGAAACTTAGAGTTAGCACTTAAATATATGAATTTGGAAGGGGATTCAACTGATAACAGTGAAAATTCTGACTAAAGGGAGGAGTTACCACAGTTCCAAATAAATCAGTTTCCTCCTGCATGGTTATTTAGTTAGCAACTGTCTGTACCATGCACCGCTCTGGGCTGGAGGGTGTCCTGTGGATGAGTGAGTCTTGGGTGAAGAAGCAAGGAGATACATCCTCCCCCAGGAAAGGCCCAGCCCATCCTGAGCATGGTCAAGCCAAGAGAGGCTGGACACTGCCCTCCCTGCAGGCCACTCACCTTCCACCAGAGAGCCTAGGGCAAAACCTTCTAACGCATACCTTTGGCTGCTGCCTCCTGGATAAAAAAGGAACAGGACTGCAGCAGGGCATGCATCCTCACAGCCACGAGCACCCTAGCTCACACCATGGACGTGAGTAGACGCACCACATTCTAATTCCAAGACTCTTAATAATAATAGCTTTTCTGTAACAAGACTCTACTAAGTGCCAGACTCTATGCAGTTTGCATACTTACTCCTCAAATAAAAAGCGTTTATGGTGGATATAATTATGTAAAAAGTTGGGGAAACAGTACTTGGGGAAGTGAATCGTTATCACAAAACCATGCATCCTGTTGGTGGCCCAGCCATGGGGGTTGCGTCCCTCAGTCAGAGGGACAGTGGGAGGTACAGACTCCACCACTCCACCCCACGCCAAGCATGCCTAAGACATCCAGGGCCAAAATCCTCTGGGAAGATGCTAAGAGATGCCAGACAAACAGGACACTTTAGCCACACTGAGAATGTAGCCTTTTTACCTTACTGCCTAAGCATAACTTGGTCCACACTGATCCCTGTAACCAGGGAGAACCATGAAGAAATTTGAGGGTGCTTTGGAACTTCGGGCATCACGCTGGCCTTTCGGCACAGGTGTTTCACTCCGACCCCAGGTCTGGCCTG